TCTGATGCTCATTTACTATGTGACTGATTTAAGACAACTACTCCATACCGCTTGGTATTTTCCTCTTTTTTAAGGTTTCTGTTGAATATTTCACTCCCTCTTCTTATGTCAATCCCATGTCAGTTTCACACCAATAGGGACTAGGCTTTACCCACCCTGGAGTGGCCATCTCAGCAAAGGATTTCCAACACAAAAAATTCAAAGAAGCAAAATGATTTGGGGAAAAAAGTAAAAAGGCCTTAAAAAAAAAAAAAAAAAAAAAAAAGAGCAGATTGCAGGATGAAAAAAAAAGAAAAAGGACTTAAAGGAAGTTAAACCTGATGGCACCAACTAAAGCCCTCCAACAGCTGGCTGTCCTAGCTTAGGCATAGCCAAATAGACCCCACTGAGCACCACCCCGCCCCCCCAAAAAATAAACTCCAGTCTGTAACCAGCCATCACTACCCCCTCACTCACCTATGCTTCAAGCACTGCTTTATCTGTGCCTTTACACCTGCTGTTATCGCCACCTTACAAGGTAATAGAACAGCAAAGTTCTCGAAGGTTGTTTTGTTTTTTAAAAGAAAGATTTTTGCTATAGGGCAACGCATGTGGATCACTGGACAGACAGAAAAAAAATCACCCCCAGAAGGGATGGCCACACTGCAATCCCTGCTCCTCTACTCTCCGTTCAGCATTTTGGGCGTGCACTCACATGTATCCAGCGTGAGTTTCAAGCTGCTGGGTCCAAGACTCAAACCATGGTCGCCCACAAGGGAGTTTAGTGACATAACCATTATGCCATCTGCTGGCCCCAGGTTTTGTTTTTTTTTTAATCCTGACTTTGTATCAGTGATCTTGTCAATTAAATGTGGGAAACTGTTTCCACACCCAGCCAAAGGGGCCCTAATTCAGAGCTTGGAAGGTTAAGTGAGGTAACACATGGGAAATACCACCACTGTGCCTGGAACACACCAAAGCACCAAATGAGCACTTTCCTGGCTCCCTTGCTAACACCTACTGAACTCCTAACTCACCCTTAAACTCCAGTTTCAATATCCTTATTTCTGGGCCAGCAGGTGGTGTGGTGGATAGGGCAGAAGGTTATCGCAGTTCAAGTCCAGGGCTTGGCAGCTTGCTTGTTTTCTCTCTCTCTGGTGAGCAAGCATGCCCTAGAGCAAATTTAAAAAATAACGATGATAATATTAAATAATGATGATAAAATTAAATAATTCTTTAAAAAAAATACACTAAGTATCCCTATTTCTATAAAAACCTTCCTTAGTCTTGTGTTCTATTTACCTCCCCCAAAAGAACCAAATATCCACTCCCCAGTGTTTCCTCTGGCACTTAGAGGAACCTCTAGTGTATTTTAATTGCTTGTTTATGCGTCTTCCCGCTCCATTAGAGAATGAACACCTCCAGGGTAGGCTTTTTATCTAATTACTGCTACCCCAAATCTGATGGAATCAATAATAGAAGCTTCATTAGCATTTGCTGAATAGACACATGAATGATTTCATTAAACTATTACAACTAAAACCTTTAACTAGCCTTTCAAATATTTTGATAATGAACCTTGTCTGTTCTTTGAAAAGGATTAACTTAAACCGGTACCCTATCAGCAATTGAATTTTTACTGTTTCTTACTAGTCATGCACTTTTTTATAAAGAACTATTTAATATTATTATTACTTTAATTCATTATAGGGCATATGCACTCAACAGAGGTGGGGTGGAAGGTGGGGAGTGAAAAAGCAAGCTGCCAGGTCTGGGACTCAAACCCCATCATTCACTTTTTCAACAGGTATTTCCCATGTGTGAGGAATGCATCAGTGAACAAAACCAACACAAATCCCAGCCTCCCTCCTTCTATTTACTACAGGTACATCTGTGGAAGAAAGTGATTACCATGCCAGACTTGTCTGACAAAGGCACCAGAAGCTACATTTTGTTATTCACCAACATTTACTATGTATCTAAAGGACAAAAATAACAAATCCCTAACCATGCATAAAGTTAACCAGTTTAAAAAAAAAAAAAAAGGCATGAAATTAACCCTGGTTTAGTGTACTAAGTGAGCAAAACTGACTTAGTGTCCCTCAAAAAAAAAAAAAATGCTCACGCTAGGGACCCATTCCTTGTAGCTGAAAATCTTGTGACTTCTCTTTTGGAAAACCACTAATTTCTGCACATTTTAAAAATTTTTTATGTACAACTGCATGCTTTGCATAAGTCCTAAACTGGAGTTTTATTATTATTATTTGCCAGAGGACACAGTGCACTTGTCAAAGAGAGAAAGCCAAATGAAAGTGAGAAAGCACTCTCCATGGGGGAAGGTCATGCCCTCTGCTCCATTCCTCCTTTCAGAATTTGGGGTACGCATGCACATACACGCCCAGTGTGTTTCAAGCCACCAGGTCTGATCAGAATCCTAACTATGCATTCAGTCAGGTGGAATTCAGTCACCTTAACTGCCATCAGCTGGCCCCCGTTAGGTTAGGTTTTTTTCTCGTTGTTTAGGCAATTTTGCTGCAGGGCACAAGCTCGCCAGAGACAGAAAGACAGAAAGTAAGAAATCTCACACACGCCACTGCCCCCCATCCCCACCCCCAGTGGGGATGACCGAGCAGCAATCTCTTCTCCTCCATTCCCCTCTGGGATTTTGGGCACACACAGACACACACACGCCTAGAGTTTCACGTCACTGGGTCTGGAACTTGAACTGTGGTAAGCCATGTGGAAGTCCAGGAACATAACCATTACGCCATCGGCTGGCCTGTTTGGTCCGTTTTTAAATGTGGCCTATTTCAAAGCCTGCTTACGACCTTAAAGAGCCTTCATTCCATAAATGAGGAGGGCTTTCACAGTGTTCCTCTGCATTTGGGCTTCCGTTCTGAAGGGTGCATTTCCCAGGAGACATGAGCCGGGCCACATGAGGACTCACTCAGGACCATGTCTCAAAAGGGGCTGCGCTGTCCGGCCACCAGCCCAGAGGCTCCCACCCTCTGCACAGCAGCATGTCCCATCTATCTTCTGCCTTCTCCTCTCTGTCGCACCCACCTTGCTTCCCCAGCACGCCCTAGACTTCCCCTTCTGATGTTCCTTTCTTTGCTTTGATGGTCCTTTCCTCGTTTCTGCTATGAAAATACCCACTTGTCAGCACATGGTTCCCACTGCTAAGAGCTCCTGGCTTCCATCCTTCGAGGATAACAGTACCCACTGAATGAATCACCAGCCATCTCTCAGAACCTGTCTCATGGAGTTTAGCAACTTCTTCCTGCTGTCCTTCCTCCTTGCTATGCTTACCAGGTATGAGCTCTCCTCACCGCTGTGCTCACACACAGCAGGGTTTCGACGCCCCATCAGATAAAAAAATAAACACAAGACCCCTGATTTTTACTCAATACCTGCCATAGCTGAACACCAGGAAGCTTAGATCTCTGCAAAATCTTACTCGTTTCAGAATCAGTACGAAGATTCGTGTTTGCTGAATAAATCTTGCAGCCTAAAATGTTATTTCTGTGTCATAAAAATAAACAGGTCCAGGTGCCCCAGGCAAGCAATGAGGAAAACGCTAAGCATCCTATTTGTCTGTCTCTGAGGGCCTTATTTGTTCAAGGGTCCTATAGGCACAGGTAGTTTCCAGAGACGCTGACTTTCAGCTGGACTTCTTGATCATTTTAGACTCTACGTGCTAACTTCACACTTCAGAGATCCCTGCCCAGGTTCACCAAATAACTGTAATAAACTAGCACGAGGAAGGCGAAGGTGGGTAAAGGCACATGCGCTGTCAAGTGCAGAGAGCTGGGTTAGGCTTGCGGCGCCCACACGTGAGGCTGAACGACATCTGCTTCCCCTCAGAGCCCACAGAGAACAGGTGAAGGGCACTAACATCAAACCAGAGGGGAACAGGCAGCCGGCAGCAGCCGGGGTTTAAAGAGATTTCACCAAGCCCCAGCCATAGAGGAAACGCTGCAGCAGCACCCTAATGGGAACAAAGAGCCGAATTATGGGGCAAAACATGAAAAAAACATCAGTGGTGTGTCCTAGAAAAATTACTAGTGAGACTGGAGTCACAACCCCCCACTTTCCCTCAAAAGTGCTTTCTAATAATACTGAGCACATTCCAAATCCCTTGGCCTGCCAAGAACTTGCCAATCGTACCTCCCCTACTCAGCAACCAGGGTGAAAAATCAATGCGGGGAGGGGAGGACCTTAATCCCTCCATTTTTAAAGTACATTGCAAACATCTATCTTGCTGGGCATGTATCCACAGGGGTGGCAGCTCCTACATGAATTTAGGAAGTCAACAGGGACCTTTACTACATCATTTGGTTCTCACCCGGAAAGCAAGCGAAACAGGAAAATGAGTGAATATGAACTCAAAGGAAAGTTACCAAAAATAACAATAACAATAATTAAAGAGTGACAAGTTTACGTGGAAGGATGACAGCTGAAAGGCAACATAAAAAGCTTAAGAAGCAAAGGGGAAAAAAAATAACGTTCCACCTAAAGAAAATGTTTAGAGAAGGAAAGAGAAATAGGAAAAAACAGTTTCAGAATCCAGCATTACTTAACTCTGCAAATCATCTTAATGTAACTTTAGGACTGGGTGGGTTCCGGGTTCGGACCCTTTCTTCAATAGGAAAGGGACATGCAGAAGAGAAGTGGGATAGTGCAGGAAAGAGGCTCCTAAGTTCAAGAGGCAGCATCAGGTTAGGCTGGATCAAGGAAAAGGCTGAAGATCGGTGGGTTCCTGAAACTACTGAGAATCAACCACCCAGCGAAAAGACTGGGATTCAGGGGTACTACAGTGAACCCCTACATCCCAAGCCCTGGGGAGTCTTACAGACAAGACTTAGCAAGTAGAGGGGTTCTCGAGGCAAGAGGATTGGAGGACTCTGGAGACCCCCAGAGACCCGACGGGGACCCCGGAGGAGAAAAAAAAAAAATGCGATGACCTGGAACGAGGGCGCGACGCCAGGGTCCCCGGGCATCCTTCCGAAGCCCGAACTCACCGATGCCGAGCCCCACGACCAGGCGGCCGGCGAGCAGGGGCTCCTTGTTGGTGGCGGCGGCCAGCACTGCG